AAGTTCCTAAACTTCAATATATTTTCTCAAATCATGTTAAAACACCAAGAAATGAAATGCAACATTTTCAAGAGGATGAAACAAGGATTTTAGAAATTTATTAAATGGAAAATGTTTAATTCTTGATATGGTAGAATTGGAAAATTCCATAGATTAGTTAAGTTATACACAAAAAAGCAAGTTAGCAAGCCTCTAAGGTATATTAGGCCAGTTCTATACATATGAAGCGAATAGTAAAATGAACCTACACAGTGTCATAATAAGCACCAATGGAGATGTTTTTTGATGAATAAGTGCAAGTCAAATCGTAGATTTTGTCATCTTCCGTTAGATGTTCATAGTCGAAGGAAACAACAACTCTCAGGTGAAAATCTGTGCCGGATTGTTGTAGACTCTGAATGCAATAGGATTATATGTCTCAAAATGTTGAAACAAACTCTAAAAGGTCCACCTTGCGGCTCCAAATCCCACAGTTACCTTCGAGAGGTGTCATAAATTTGGGGATGGTATTCTGAAAAAAAGTGAGTAGAAAAGTCGCTCACAGATCGCTTCTACAAGTGAGATATCGAAGATTATTGTAAGATTGAAGTTCAGTAATGCAAGCTTTCTACAATGAACAAAATGACTTCTATGAATTTGATTTTTTAAAAATAGTTGCTCTTTAGGTGGGACAAGAAAGAAGCAAGCAGCTTTACACACCGATCAATTTTTGATTTGAAATTCTGGAAACTTCTAGAAAATGATTAATAAATGTTGGCTTACTATTGTGATGTATTGCACACACTCTTGATCGTTTTCTCGATGACTAGCAAAGATTCGACCATTAAATGGATGATTTACCAAAATACCCATAGCTCCTTCACCGCAAATCAGGACCGGAGCTCCTGAAAAATAGGCAGTATCTATGCTTTTTACACATGAGCGACTTAATATCTTCTACTCATTCAGCCAATAAGGATTGAGAGGCGCTAAGGGGATATTTCCAAAAAGATCATAACTTTAAACCTTAGCAATTGGTTTGCGATAATCTCATTGTCTAAAATAGCTTTTAATTACAGTTCCTTGAATGAAAACAAGTTTCTAGAGCTTTCAATTGAAACTGGTTGATTTTCAACAGAAGATATTTTAGGAAAGGTTTTTTTTTCAATAAAATGCTCATTGATTTCAAATTTAATCTTATCTTTACCCGTTAGCTTTAATTACTGTACTTAAATTATTATTTTTGTTGTTTTGGCGTAAATTTGGAAATTGTCCTCTCATTTGAGAGGCTGTTTAACAAGCCATAGTACAAAATTAACCTACCCGTTTGTTTCCGTCGTTCCTGCCGTGTCGGCAGTCTCCTTAGCGGTATACGCTGTAGTTTCAGAAACTTTGCCTGATTCAGAGTGTTTGGCGTGAGAGGAATCATTAGATCCTCTTTCTCCTTCTTTCGAACTCGCTGCAAAGAAATCGTATTCGTTACGTGACAAGGATGGTAAAGGAAGAGGAGACGGTTTAATAAAAAAACAAAGTTTACCTCTGTGTTTGTCCAGCAAATCAAAACGGCGACTAGAAGCGATCGCAACTCATACATTGTATCCTTTATAAATTCATGTTTTCCTTGGAATTTTCTTCTTTCACCTGAAAAAAGAAAAAGGAGAATTTGAAGAAATTGAGGGAAAAGGAGGCTAAAATCGCGAAATCAAAGGGAATAATCATGGGAGGCAATAGTTCTAATGACCCGATCGTGAATCGT